TTCTCAACCAGTTTTTGGAAGCTATGACATTTAATGAGCTCAAATGTCTAAATTACCTTAAATGTAGATAAGCAATTGTCTTTGTTTTTAAGAATCATAACAGATTACAATCAATGGAGTAGCTTTTTTATTGTGAATGGTTAAATTTGATAGCTTTTCCACTATGTTTTTCTTCTCCCAAGTCTCATAGCTCCTAAATTGCAATAGTTCAATATTTAAAAGCTGAGAGGACATGGAAACAGCAATAGAAAAAAGTGTGGGCTTTTAAAATTGTCTGCAGAAAACTAAGGAGGTCTCTGGACTTGCCTGTATGACAGCATATACATAAGATGTAGAGAAATGGGAATGGGAGCCAGGAGAGCTGGGTGAAAAATATTTTTCTAGCCAGTTGGTTAGGAACAAGAATGATTTTTTGTTTGTTTGTTTGTTTTAGATTTTTTTTTTTTTCAGTGTTCCATGATCAAAATCAATCTTGGAGATGATGTAGCCTTCTGGTACCAAACTGGTCACCATTACTATATCATGTATATATACATGTAGATGTGGTGCTTAGGGATTTGGTTTAGTGGTGGACTTGGCAGTGCTAGGTTAACGGTTGGACTTGATCTTAAAGGTCTTTTCCAACCTAAATGATTCTATGATTCTATATTGCTTTGCTGATACTTGTTTTTAATTTGCACATGGACTATGCAATAGTGTCTTTTGATCAGTAGCGTGCACTTGAGTTTCCCAATTTGCAGCCATGGAACGGTTCCAACTACCTCTGTTCTTATTCATGTGTCAGCTTTCTTTTGTTGTACTTCTATTCCCCTTAGGTCCTGGTGTGCTATTCAGTGTAGCTATGAACTTTGATCTGAAGGGACCAGTGAAGTAACTGCAACTCTAGAACACTGTATTCAGATACTTGTAGAGTATGTTTTTATGTTAGGAGGGTTTATTTTGCATCTGCTTTATGTTCATTGATAATATAAAATGCTCACAAACCCCTTACAGTGAACTTGAGACTCAATGCACAAAACCAGAAGTCTCAACTGTTGCTATAAAATAGAGTAAGAATTATCTAGGGCATACCTCTCTGAACATCAGGAAACTTGTCCTGTGGCTTTCTTTACTTTCAAGGTAGGTGAGCTCCACTCCTCGCCCTTAATAGTCTGACTAAAGAACAAAGGAAGTGTTGCAGCCTGGTAGGAGGCAGCACGCAGATTGCAGTTTCTGGTAGACTGAGGCAAGTGGGTTAATCTGGGAGAAACTTTGCAGTTGGTAAAGGAAGTGCTTAAAATCTTGTTTTCTGCTATTAACTTAGGTTTTTCCCACGATAATTTTTGTACTGAAACCAGTAGCGTTCAGAGACACGAGTCTCTTCAGCCTAGTATGTGTCTACTACTGAACAGATTAGGATATTTGTCCATTTTGGTATTTTAACTGGGTGATGGTGAACACTGAGTCGAGAAATTAGTTCTGCTTTTGATGGATGATACAAGCAGAACTTACATGAACAACAGAGGCATGTCCGCATCCTGCTGCTCTAAGCCGAGAAGGCAGTGAGGTTGTGAGATGGATAGTTCCAGCAATGGGACCATCATGCTGTAGTCACACTCTCACTTCTTCCTCTGTTGCATTGATTCAGTAGGAAAGTAGAGTTCCCTCATGATGCAGTGTGTGAATCAGACCAGTCCTACTCTGCATCCTCACAAGAAATGGACAAGGTTCTGTTGGGAAGATGAACACAGCTTACCTCATGAGAAGTTTCTAGTACCAATAGTCACTGTCATTTAGGTAAATAAATTGCCAGGGGATCTCAAGATAAAGAATGACTGGGCAACATAATGGCCAACGTTGCGTTTAATGTGTTAGAACATATAAAGTAATGTGTGTGTGGTGGGGAAAATAAACTGATTATGTGTGCACTGTGACAGGTTGTAAAAATAGCCTTTTCCTTCCTGCATGCACTAATTAAAGTTTATCTGCTTAAAAAGAATGTGATCCCACTTTATACCCAGTGAGTAAAATAAGAAATTTGGTTAATGAGCTGACTAAGCAGCATTTAGCATCAATTCCACCCCCCTCATCAGCTGGGGGAGAGGATTTGTGGCAGCCCCACCTCGAGGGAAAAGTAGGTGCAGAGTCCCTCTGTAACAGCTTGGAGGGGTGTCAGCTGGGGAGATTTATTGTGCAGAACTCCGTAATGTCACAGTCCTGCGTCCGTTGTATGGGCAACAAGAGCAAACAGGCCAGCAGATATGTTGTCCCTCAAACGGGGTTCGTTTACCCAGTGTGCAAGCCAATAACACACAGAGTTGAGATATTTTCAAGTTAATTTCATTGATGTGCATGAATGGGTGCCTGTCTCAAGACAGCACACCCTTGTCTTAAAAATTTCCACATTTATATACTTAAGTAATACATATTCATTATTATTTTCATTAATGATTGGTTCTTTTTTCTTCACGCAGACTCTGTCTTCTTTCATTGTCTTCTTTTGAGTAGGTGGCATCATTTGAGTAGGTGGTCAATGAGTCTGTGGTTGTGATTTCCCCCTGTAGGAATACCTTTTACCTTCTTTCTACTCTGTCTTGGCAGTTCCAAGCTGTTCTTCAAGGTTTGTTGATCAGACCACAATCTATTACCTTTTCTGACATAAACATAAAGCCTTATTGTCTAATAGTTAGTTCCTAAACCTGAAATCATGTCTAGTTATTGTTTCCCTATTTTAAATATTAACAGATGCGGGCTGTACACAGGACTTTAGCAGCTCCCTGGTTATTTCAATCATATTATACATATTAATTGGTAACAGATACAGCTGGGGATTGCAGCCTTCATGGTAGGTCCTTAATGGTATTGAAGGGCTGTCACATTGAAGCTTCTGTTCTCACAGCTAGAATTTGCAATTACTATAGATGAAGCAGACACTTAGGAGGCCTTGAGGTTTGGGGCTATTGTGCTCTGCATTCCACTCCTTTTTAGTTGGGAGGACTTGAGGGTTGTTACCTTGTGCCTGGGCCTGTGCCAAGGTGCCTTCTGAGAAGCTGCTGCTTGTCTCCTCTCTGCTGTTGTTTTCTTCTTGAACTTGCAATTTCTGTTACTTCCATAGCAATTTAAAAAATATAAATTATTACCCTAAATTGAGAATACCATGTGAATATGTTTGAGCTTCATTTATACTTAGGTGGTATCTGCCATTTACTGTGGAAAGAATTCATGTGGTTAAAGTGTCTTGACTATTTTGCACTTTTCCTCCCTGTCACAAACAGAACATTCTACATACCAATATATAGAAAAAAAATAGGAAAATACCGTAAGTGAAAAATCGGGCTGTCGGGGAGCTTGTGATTCTGGAGGAAATGGGTGACTGGTCTGTTGTCTACTGAGTATTATTGCAGTAGACACAGTGCAGGAACTGGGCTGGTGTTCCCTTAAGCAGTCTGATGTACAGTGTATGGCTCTTCTGGAAATGTATGTGTACTTTTACCTGAATCACTCTGCTATCACTAAGTGTATCTGACAGTTCTGTTATGTCTTGTTGAGAGTTGTTGCAGCAGCTCATCTCTTTATCAGTCTGTGTTCCCCTTTGCCTTGTGGTAGGATAAAGAGGATGCAATGAAACATGCAGTTTGTGTGCAGCCATGATGCAGGATCTTTTGCTCCTGAAAGATGTGTTTTTCTCTCTGAGGCTTCAGATGTAGCCAAAAAATAGCTCTTTGTCGTTCTGCTTTTTGGTATTAAGTTCGTAAGATCTTGATGTACCTGTAAGATTATTCTTTTTCTGGAGGAGATCATCACTGGTCTTTCAGAGACGTTTGTGCCCACAGGAAATGTCTTAAGTTATTAGCCAGTACCACAAGTGCCATGAGCAAGTGATTGTTTTGAACAAATGGGAACCAAATTAGTGGGAATACTCGCTGTTCCTTCTGCTAAAATGCCAATGACTTTGATATTATATCTTTTCCAAGTGACAGCTTTGTTCCTATGCCAGGAGAACTGGTTTTGTTTTGCCATCTGAATGGGTCTGTTCCTTTTTCATATACTGTGCTTGTTACCTTCTTATGGAGTGCTTACATACATTTTTTTTTCTTTTTTTTTTAATGAAGAACTGAGACGTCCGTTAATAGGTTTTTAATGGTGAACCCTATTTTGACTGAAAATTATGTGACACTTTTGGGATGCCAAAGAATAATACCCTGAGGATAAAAGTTGGTGGATGCTTACCAGAAAGATATAAGCTGCTGAATCACTTTAACCAAAACCAGGTTGATAGGTATACCTTAGAGAAACCTACTGTTACTTAACATGGTAGGAATAATTGACCAGTTGTTTCACAGGAAGGGACTTTAGTGTAAAACATGAGCATGAGGTAGAGAAGTCAGTAGAATAACTAAAACACAGAGAGAGCTAACATTTGTTAGCTATATGTATATCTGAAATCATGATAGGTCCATTCAGTGGCCCAGGAGTTTCTTTCTAGACCTATTCTGATTTTGGGTTTGGGAATCTGCATGGGCAGGTACTGTGCAACTCCTACTAAGTTGAGAATAGTGTTTCTTTATTACTCAGTACCTAGAACAGTATGTGAGATTTGGAAAAGTTTCAGAGATTTTAAAAAGAGAACTTGAGAAACCAAGAGTGACAAACCAGTATAGTAAGAAATGGAAGGAGAAAATAGATGGGTACATTTGACAGTTTAACTGTTGAGAGGTAGGATGGAGATGATGTGAGTGAAGACTGGGGATTATTTAATTTTCTTTGAAAATCTGGTGGTTAGGGAACTCTTTAAGTATCTAACATGTTCATCAGTTTGTACAATTGATGGCATAGCTCTCCCATAGGGAGTGGCTAGAACATTAAGAGGTTTTCATGAATTACTGGTAGGTTTGGGAAGATGTTTTACCCAACTGTGACATTCTGGCATTAAGTGCTTTGGGTTTCTGGGAATGAAGAAATTGGTCACTTTTGTGAGAACAGTTTTTTCAGGAGTATTTTCTATTTTCTCAGGGTACAGAGTCCATTAAGATGGAAAATGGACAAAGCACGGCAGCTAAGCTGGGGCTTCCTCCCCTCACACCAGAACAGCAGGAAGCTCTCCAGAAAGTGAGTAAACTTGATGTGAATTTGCTTCTTAGCACTCTTGTTTGTTTGGGTTTTTTTGGTTTGTTGTTTTTTTTAAATGAGCATCTGTTACTGATGTTATAAAAGGGAACTCGCCTACCAAGAATATGTGTGGGATAATGGCCATGCTTTGTGTGGATTCACACTTTCAAATTTGTGCCCAGGATTATTTGGTTTGATTTAGAGTTTATAGATGCTTTTTGGGGAGCATGATGTGGACTTTGTTGTTGGGGTGGGGAGAGTGTTTTTAATTTAAAAAAAAATAATGATAATCATAAGTAAATAACACCTTAAGATCACATTGTAATTCCAAGACAATATGCAACTGCCACAAAGTTACTGTGAGGAGCAGCCTGTACTCCACAAGGAATAGGTTTCTGATATGCTCCAGCTGGTCTTTTATTCTATGCACACAAGAACACATCACGAAATACCTCTGTTATATCCTTATGCTCTTTCCCGTCTTGTAAAGAGACCCAGTAGCAAGTATTTTCAACCCATTTGAGCCAACGTATTTTAATCTAGATAAAATTTCAGTCCAGCTCTGATTTCTGGTTGTTGGTCCTGTTTTATACAGCTGGTGGGGAGGTTACTGCTGACTTCTTGCCCACTTTCCTGATGGGAGTGAGTGATGCCTGGCTTACTGAGAGGAGAGCAGAGTTGGGAAAAGAGGGGAAAGAAAACAAAACCAGGGAATGTGGGAACTGTGGGCTAGGTGTCTTCTGTACTCTGGTGAGGCAAGTAAAGTTACTGTTCTAGGTAGGCTTCGTGTGAATGTTCCCATAATGTTGAAGCTGCTTCTGTGTGTGTTGTTTGGCTCACAGTGTGAAACGGCCTCGTTTCCTCTGGCTTTTCCGTAGCTGACAGATGTAAATCCCCTTGTCCGTTTCCAGGTTTCCGAAGCACACGTCTCAAATCCACGGTTTAGAGCCTACCGTTCCCTGGCACCTCCCAAACACGTACAGCCATGGAAAGCAGGTGCCTGAGGGGTTGGCTGAATGTGTTTGTACCGTCCCCTGTATAGGCACATATGTGGGTATTAGGTTTCCCTTGACAAAGAGCCTCCATGTCAACACCACTGGGTGTAAAGCTCAGGCTTTGTCAAATTTGTAGAAAAATGAAAGAAAAAGACAAATCAGTCTTGTGTCTGCAGGCTAGGAACCAGAGAAGGAGTGCTGGAGCATTTTAGTGAGCAAGAGCAGTGGGTCCTCCAAACTAGAATAGGCCAGATGTGATAAGAAAAGAGAGGAGGAGTGTCCAGTCAAGAGACTGGACATGGGGATTTGGAGGCCCTTCCCTTTTGTAGAAACTCTTTGTCCAGATGTTCTCTGAGTGGAAAGGACTTGAAGGAGGCTATCTGTCCTGCCCTCATCCCAGCAGGTAAGGTGCTATGGTGGGATCTAAGGGGCAGAGGGCGGAAGAGGGGAAATGCTAAGTGTCTAGTGCATGCTGCTTTCCTAACATTGCGCCTGCCGCAGATTGAGTCCATCCAATCCTCTGCTCAAGCATTATGCTGTATTTCAGGGCTCACGACTCCAAGATGCAGACCAAGATGTTAGTAAGCTGTTGGCCGCTGGCTCATGTACAGTGCCTTAGTGCTTAGGGCTGGAGTGCCGAAAAGTTCCACTGGCAGCCAGTTGTGTGGTTCTGGGCAACTGTGGTGTAAAATCAAACATCGTTCCCTGCTCTGTGGTTTTGTCCTATGACTACAGAGTCTGTATTTCTTTTTAGGCAAAGAAGTATGCGATGGAGCAGAGTATCAAGAGTGTGCTGGTGAAGCAAACCATCGCCCACCAGCAACAGCAGCTCACCAACCTTCAGGTGAGAGACCCTCTGAGATGCTCCTTCTGTGTCTTCCTCTCCCCCACAAGGTGGAGTTCTTTTTGCACTTAGAACCAGAGCACAGCCCTGAGGCCTGCCTGGAGCCAGGTACATGTGCTTGTGTTTCCACAGTGAAATTGAAATATACTGTCTTCAACTCACTAAAGAAACCCCCTTTACTCACCTGCACAAATTGCCCCCAGATTTCACTCATTCAAAGAGTAAATTTTTAAGACTTTCTCTCCTGTTGATTGGCCAAATGCTTCTTGAAATGCCAGAAGCCAAAGAATTTGCTGTGGGTTTCACTTTCGACTTTTATTTAAGGTGGTGTCTAGGGTTACTGGGAACAGTATCCTTTCACCATCTCTTCTGCTTTGAGGGGAGGGTACCTGTCTGTCCTATGTTACTGACCGTGCTACCCCATTTCCCTCCCCTTCACCCAGGTCCTCTCAATTTCAGAGAAGTTCCATTGGCTATTCCTGCTAATGCTGGAATGCCTATGTACTGGGAGAACCCTTAACTGGTATTTAAATCTCCCTTCCGTCAGAGGTTTCTTGAACACATCTCACTGCCTTCTACTCAAAGTTAGGAAGCCCAAAATAATGGCTTTGGGATGTTGGATTTTTTTAATGAAGAATCACTGTGGATGTGCTTGCCACATTAGGCAGCTCTGGCCTTTCAGGGCTGTGCATGTTTCTGAGTGTCTGATCTAGTTGAGGGGGCTCCTTTTTAAATGCTGGGGGTGAATCAACGACAGTGGTTGCAGAGGTTACTATTGCCTTGAGTCCCCCCTGGGAGAAGACCCTGCTTCCTGAGGCAGTGGCAGCAGCACAACTCCACCCTGACCTGGTGGGACTGGAATCTGCAGGGTCCCAGCGCTGGACAGTCCTTGGGACCAGGCAGTGAGGGGCAAGGAAGGAGAGGCCTCTCTCGCAGGTTCCCTGTGCCGCCGCTCTGCTTGAGTTTTTACAAACAGCCGTAGTATGCTCAGCTCCAACAGACTGAACTCTGTCTTTACTGTCTTTCAGATGGCAGCAGTGACAATGGGCTTTGGAGATCCTCTCTCACCTTTACAATCGGTCAATAGACATATTCACTTCTTCTTGGGCACTTTGTCTTAGTCAGGGCCTAGAGTGGGGAAGTATGTAGTGGTAATACAATGCTCTTAATTCAACCCAGCACAACCCTCCCACATACCCACCTGTTATGGACAAGCACAACAAGCAGAGGCAAAGTGTAAACTCCCCAGAGGAAGACCCTAGGCTGGGTGCAGTCTGCTGTGACACTGGCAGTCGGGGTCCTGGAGTCAGTTGGCAAAGAAAGCTTTAGATTTCGAACAGTTCTGAACACACCTGTGAAATTGTGGGAGCTGCATTTCTAGGGATGCTACAGTTCTGAGGTCCTGACCTAAAACTAACTGCCAAGGTAACTCACAAATGGGCAATTTCTTATGAAACAAACTCACAGCACTGGAGACCTGGCAGCTAAGGTGCTGGGGAGGACTGGGGCACTATAGGTTTGCAGAACATGTTGTAGCCCAGATGTAAGACTGCTCTTTACTGTGCATGTTTCCAGACTAGGTGAATATGGCATGTTTCAAGTAAAGTAAAAGCAGGATGGAAGTAACAAAACTGCAGGACTATTCAGAGAATCTGTGCAGTCCTTTAGTGCTGGAATTTCTAATCAGATGCCACAAAGAGCTTAATTACCTGGGACTATCCATCTCCTCCTTTTTCCTAGACATGTTGCACAATGGCCACTGCAGAAAGTGTCCTGTAAGTTCCACTCTGCCCGCAAAGGTTCATTTATAAATTCGTTTGTAAATTTGTAAATATTTTTCCATCTTGCTGGAATATAATATTTCTGCTTGGTGTAGAGTGCAACCGGAGGCTTGTACTCCAAAATGAAAGATGCACTAAAACTAAAATCACTTGTTTTCCCTCCTTTAACACTGCCACAGTAGGTAGTGTGTCAGCAGGGGAGCCAAAAAAATTTCATGGAGGTATGTAAGTTTGGAATGGAATAGAAGCATACATCTCGATGTGAATTTGACATAACTGGTTCCTGAGTGCTTATGCCCAAGAAACTTCTATCAATTAATGTAGGTGCTTACTTGATATCATAACTCCATCAATTTTGCCTAAAAAAATTTTTTGGCTCATTATTCACAGCTGGGCAACAGATGAAAAGTGTGTACTGATAATGTCACAGGAAACGTTTAATTTCTCATTAGCCTTAAGGGCATAGTCAGTATTGTGAATCCTTTTCCTAAGACATTGCTCCCTCTCTAGGGAGTCAGAGACTACTGCTGATGGGACAGAATCTAGAAGCAGGAGTCTGCGCTGACTCATTTGGCTGTGGTGCAGTTCAATGTAGTTAGGATACCCTGTCCTCAGCAAATGCTTTATCCCAAAGCCCATCAGGAATGCCGAAAATGCAAACAGACCTCTGTCCAACACTTTTTCCTGTTGACAAGATTCATCAGTCCCTACATGAAGGAAGTGCAGCCTAAACTTCCTATTGTGGTATCTTAGTGCCTGAGATTAAAGCTTCCTGTCTACTTGATCCTCCAAGTATTACAGCGCAAGATTTCCATGTCACTTCAGCAAGAAGAGCACAATTTCCTGGCGTTCTATTAAAATTGAAGCTAGTGGTGATGTTTTTGCATCACCTCCTTTGTTTAAAGGATCACTCCGAGATGATGTTTTGGCTTGTCCTTAAAATAACCTTCATAAGCACTTAACACCACCATTACATACATACAACTATTAGCTGCTGCCTTTATGAAGGTTGCAGATACTTCAAACTCCATTTTATAGGTGGAGGAAGAGGGCCAGTGGCCAGTAAAATCTACTTAGTTATAGCTGGGGAAAACAATGAGATTTCTAGTCATGAGTTTCTGATGCTGTCATGCACTTAGTTCACAGGTGTACATTGCATCATTCCCCTGACTTGACACTACCAATTCCTGTTAGTGATCCACGTATGCCTGTAGTCATCATGGTCCACCTCAGTTCTGCCTTTTGTAGGTCCCAATTTCTAATATGTTGCTCATGTAACAGAGAGTCCTCCTAACTCCACCCCAGCTATTTTGTTAGGATCTCTGCAGCAGAGTAAGATGGGGATTTCCTCCTGTACAGGTTGCTGCCATGGGAGAGGACAAATGCTGTTTTTCTTGCACCTGTTGCATTGATAACTGAAAACAAGAGCATGTCCTCTTTGTATATATAGACCCTTCAGAAGGTGGAAGATCCCTCTGCCTGGTGCAAGGCTGCAGTGTCTTGTCAAGAAGCACTCCTAGTAAAACCCTAAATTTTTATCACAGTCTGTGGCACCATGGGTGAGGCACTTCACTTAGACACTTGGCGTTAGAATGGTGATGGCTCTGAACCCATAAATGGACACACTACACAGACTGAGGGGCTACTGATCACTGGCTTTCCTGCACCAAAGCTGGGAATGTGTTGGAGAACCTGGGAGACAACACATCAGCTGTCCTGCGTGTACACGTGCCATAGTCCTCCTAGTCACAGCATTGCAGAGTAAATTGAAAAACAGCTTATTTTTAACTGTGAAATACTTAAACCCAGTCAAGAGGCAAGCTTAATATCACTTCAGGAGCAGCAGTATGGGGTGAGAACCATTCCTATTTATAGTATCCCTGCTGTATTGAATAATAGGAGTTGAACCTTTACAGTTTGTTTCCTCCTATGGTCAATGTCAATCATGTACGGGTACTATGAGGGAGAAGGATTTCTTCAGGTACAGTTTGTGTCCGTGCTTCTGTGACTATCACAGATAAAATGCTGTCCCTCCTATTTTGCCATTTGAGTTGCAGCATCCCCAGACACATCAGAGCTCATTGTGCTCATGCTTGTTATGGCATTCTGAAAGTAGGCCTCTTGTAAAGGCCTTGATTAAAGACCCTCTTAAACAGTGGTGGTGGGGAAGAGGTGGTTGTTCAGAGCTCCCTGCTTTGGTGCCAAGCACTGTGGTGCTGGGAAGGGAGAGAGGCATCAAGCTTAATGCTGCATTTGCCTACTCTGCAACAGTCCGTAGCCCTTACTGCTTTACATTTGTTCCATCTGTTCCACACAGAACAAGAATGAAGCCCTGTGCATATCTCCAACGCACTGTAATTCAGTCTTGCTGATCATAGGGAGCTGCCTCTACAGAGACCTAATTTCCGCCTTGGTCCCAAGACGTGCTGCTAGGATATGCTGGCCAAACCTGTGATTTTTTGTAGGCAGCATCTTCCTAGAATAATGTTCATTAGTAGTAGCAATTCTAGAATTGCAATAAGGGTGAAAAATAATTGAAGGATATACTGCTTTTTTGGATACCTGCTGTAAGAAATTTCTGGATTTGTCTTGCAAACAGGTTTTCAGGCATACTTAGGAGAAAATAGCACAGAGACCTTCTCTGCACCGAAACTGATAAGGGCGGAGTCTTTGGGGGCTGCACCACTATCTGAGCCAGTAACAACAGGCAGTGATAAGTACTAGCACCACACACTTAACTCAGAAGTTTCATTTAACCATTTAATTTTTTTTGCTTTGCTTTTGAACTGTGCGGTGGAAGTGGTGCCTAGTACTGGATCTCGTACTGCCTGGGGTGGGGCGGGGGGAGGAGGTGGTGTGTGATGCTTGAGGGAGTGGGGAGGAGGTACCCAATTCCAGATCCTTTGCTGCCTGGGAGGATGGGGCGGGGGGAGGGAGTGACTAGGTGGTGCCCAATATTGGATCTCTTGCTGTCCCTTGCGGGAGGGAATGGGAGGGATTGCTAATAGTGTCTAGAATTGAGACCTTTGCTGCCTGGAGGGGGAAGGTGTCCTAGAATGAAGTTATTTCCTCCTCCTGCAAGTGTTGCTGGAGATGTGATCAGGCTGGGGAGGGTTAGACCTTATCAGTGGGGTTGGAGTTAAGGCTCCTGAGGTGGCAGACCCCATCAAAGATTTGACTGCCCCTGGGAGTGAGCTGTAGTGCTTATCCACTCCAGCAGTCTGTGCATTGAGCAGGAAAATACTTCTTTATTACTACGTGTGCCAGGCTGTGCTGCAGCCCAGTGAGGAGCTACCTGCTGTTGGGTCATAGCTCCTGGGAGGGAAGGAGGAAGGGAAAGAGGTCCTGACATCCATGACCACCCCCTGATCTAACCAGCCAGTTCTTCTTTCCAATACAGATGGCAGCTCAGAGGCAGCGCGCCCTGGCCATCATGTGTCGTGTGTATGTGGGCTCCATATACTATGAACTGGGAGAAGATACCATTCGCCAGGCCTTTGCCCCATTTGGACCTATAAAAAGCATTGATATGTCCTGGGACTCTGTTACAATGAAACACAAGGTTAGTTAACAGCCCTTGAGTGATGTGTTTTTTCTTCTCTCCAAGGCCTTCCTGAATATATCCAGGAGAGGAAGGACTCTTTATCCTTGTAGAGAGCAGACTGCTTTTAGCACTTTAAGATAAATGTTTGTAGCTGCCTGCTCTACTTAGCTTTGCAGGATTCTGTAGTGGGAACCAGATGTGCGTGGGGGTGGTGCACATGAAAGATGCCAAACAGCTAGCAGTCCTGTGTGCAGTGGCATTTTGCTATTAAGCCTCTAAGTATGAGAGTCTCTGGAATCAGGTAGCCTTCTGTCAATACTTCTGCATGCAATTTTCTGCTTTAATAAAAAGCTTCCTTAAGGAAACATCTTCTCAGGCCATGATAGTAGGAATCTGTTACATGGGAAGTCTTGACTGCATTAGTTTGGCACTAGATTCGGGACAAGATACAGCTGGTATGATTCAACAAGCACATCCTTCTGTCCTAGGGTTTTGCTTTTGTGGAATATGAGGTACCTGAAGCTGCTCAGCTGGCCTTGGAGCAGATGAATTCTGTCATGCTCGGGGGAAGAAATATAAAGGTGAGTAACAGGCATGCTCTGAAAATTCTTAGCTCTCTTTACTGTGAGTAAGGTTTTATGCCTAGAAATGCTTCCCACAGCACTGTAATGTGGAAAATAACCTAAAGTCTGTTCCCTGATAGACCTTGATATTCAACCCATTGAGTACTTAGTGGCTCTGGGTCCCTTTCTCTCTGAGGAGAAATCCGCAGCATGCTAATAAAACCTAGAATCTTGTTCTTGCAAGCTAGCTCAGTTTTTTCCACCCACACATAGAATAGAAGCCTCTTGAGGACAAAACAAAGGTGATTCTTGATATTTTAATGCCTCCATCTTACATTGTACCTGTGTGGATGGTAGATGAGTAGCATCAGACTTTTGTTGTGCCTGTCAATAGTGTGAGGGACTTCAAGTAGAGGTCCACGCTTGCCATACAAAAAGGAGGCATTCAGCACAAACAGAAAGGAGCAAAGGTTTATAGCTGTCTTTTTTCAGGCAGTAAGAGGGGATCTTGCAAAGGTGAAACTTTGGGGATTGAAATTGGGGGGGAAACTAGCATTTTCTGCAGTGTTTTATATCTCTCATTTATATCTCTGATACACTCTGCATATCTGCAGTGTCTGATTTCTAAGGGGGTTTTAGGAGCCTTCAGAAAGATATAGAAGCATTGTGCTTTGCTTTCAGAATTGTTTTCAATTCCTGGAAGTTGGTCTTCGGCAGGTGAGGGAGCATAAATGGGGGAAATATGGTGGAGGAGAGGGCAGAGTCTGTCCAGGCTCTCAGTACTTCTAGAATCCCCTGTAGTGCAGGTTGTATCCCACAGCTGAGTCAACTGTTGCCCTTTGCTAATTATGGCCTTATGAGGTGTTACTTGGTTTGAAAAGGCAGTCAGCTGGCTGAGGGCTTGTCTGCTGTAACTTGGTGAGTCATGCTGCTGCTCTTCAGAATGCTTAATGGACTGTTTGCTGTGTTCTCTGCAGGTTGGGAGACCTAGTAATATAGGTCAGGCGCAACCAATTATAGACCAGCTAGCAGAAGAGGCACGGGCTTTCAACCGCATCTATGTGGCATCTGTTCATCAGGACCTTTCAGATGATGACATCAAGAGTGTGTTTGAGGCCTTTGGGAAGATCAAATCCTGCACACTAGCCAGGGATCCCACGACAGGAAAACACAAAGGCTATGGTTTCATTGGTAAAATGGCTGTCTGGTATTTGATGTGGGGTAGGGAGAGTGGTTGGGAGCATCTTCTTTTTGGTTGTGTGTTTTGTTTGTTTTTTTTAACTCTAGTGGAAGAATTGCATTAAGCAATGGGATAGAAATAAATTTGGAGCAGATCTGTGCCTGAACTTAGAAATATAATTAATAGCCAGATATTTTTACTCACTGTTAATATAGGTTGAGAGATCTTGCTGTGCTGACTCTTCTCAACAATGCTTGTGCGATCAGAGGCGCAAGATGAGTGAGCTAAGCCCTGAGGGTCTTTTCACTGGAACTCTTAGCAGTTGTTTTTTGCAAATACAAGTCACAGCTGTGTGATGAGAGAGTGGCTGAGTTTAGGAGTAAAAAGGATCGTTTGTAAATATTTCTCTTTCTCACTGCAGAATATGAGAAAGCACAGTCCTCTCAAGATGCTGTTTCCTCTATGAACCTCTTTGATCTTGGGGGTCAGTATCTCCGAGTTGGTAAAGCTGTGACTCCTCCAATGCCTCTCCTAACACCTGCTACGCCAGGAGGACTACCTCCAGCAGCAGCTGTCGCTGCAGCAGCTGCTACAGCAAAGATCACAGCACAGGTAAGGCACAAGCTGGCATGACTCAGCCAAGTGGACGATTGTTGTGACCCTGCTAGAAACAAGCATGCAAACTGTTCCAGCCAGCTGTATTCACTAGTTTGAACGAAAGCCCTTGGCCTAGATCATACTCTGCTGCCAGGACTTCACATCTAGAAGCTTGCCCCTGACACTTGTGAGGATCTCATACACCAGCATTTTGGAATGGAGTCTGGCACAGCTGATCAGAACTTTATTTAAAGAAGTGGTGGGGGAAGATTGGAGGGGATTCCATGTCTGGATAGGCAAACTAATGATGAGGGAAATGGTTATAGTAGAGGCTAAAAGAATGCATGAAAGTACATGAAAGGGAGCAGACTAATGAGGGCAGTAATAATCGCATGAGCAACACTTTGTTGTTGAAAAGACTGCCTGTGTAGTAATGTGGAAGATGACTGTAATGGCTTTAGACGGTTCAGAAACAAGGAAATGTAGTGATGGAGCAGAATTGGATGTTGATGCAGGAGTCTAGGGTTTCTCAAATTTAGTTTGCTTGAAGTAACAGAAGCTCCTGGCTATGACCAATAGGCACTGATGGAGGAGGATTGCCTTTCAAAGCAAACCCCCAACTCTGTGTCCATTGTCCTCGCCCTCGGCAGCAGAATCTCCCCCTGCGTCACCATAGCCCATGAAAGAAACAAGTTCTAGCACTGTTGGGTTCATGGATTCTCTCAAGCAAAAAAAATTGCAGAGGTGTGCAGCCTATATGTGCTGCTAATCAGCTGACTGGACTTAATTTTGTAAACAGCTCTTTTTTGAAAATATTTCTCTGAATCACAAGGTAAAGGCAGAAGTGGGAGGAATTGCCACTAATGTGAAACTCTCAGGTCGTTTGCATGTCCCCAGTAAAAAGTTCACAAGTCTGGGAACCTCTGCAGTTGACTAAGGAAGTTGAGGCATGGCTAGAAGAATTAGTTGGATCAAAATCACTTTGAGAGAGAACAATTAACTCTTCTCATAAGTGAAATGGTAGAGATCTGTTACAGGCATGGGTAAATCTTAACTTTTTCTTTCTGCAAAATACTTCAGGATTTGTTACTGTGAGGAAAATGTAAAATTCCATATATAGAAAAAAGGTTCTGAAAGACCTCAGAGATACTTGGCAGTCTTGTTGCCTTTACTTAGACATGGTACGGATGTAGGTAACGTGTCTGATTTGCCATGTGGGTAGTTGTAGATGACTAGGGAAAAGGGTAAGAACAGTTACAGAAGGTAATGTCTCTTATTTTTGCTCCTAGCATAGTTCTTGTATGGAACAGCTTATTTTAAATAAGAGCATATGTAGTCATGGTCTGTAAGAGCTTTTAATTTCACAGGTTTTGGTTTTTTAAATGCAAGCTAATCAGTAAACTCAGCGGAGCTAAAGAAATCATGGACATGAGAGAGAAACTTAAGTCAGAGATATAACTTTGGATCTGCAGTCAGAACTGCAACTTTAGTCTGGAATTAGCATGCCTGCCAAGGAAGGAGGAAGTGTTTCCGCACTCAAATGAAACTATGAAGAGAGAGAGGTGTTGAGTAGCAGAGATTGTTAATATCTTGACAATGACAGTAAAAAAGTCAGTCTTGCAAAAGAAGTTAAGGAATGAAAGCTATTAGGAAAAGTTTCTTTAGCCATTTAAGTAAAAAGCGGGGGCAGCTAATGACCAGTGTAGTCAAAAATTATGATGGTCTTGTTACAGCACTGAATGCTTACATAAGTATTTTTCCCCTTCATTAGAAGCATAAGGCAGACTGGTTAATGATGCACATGGGATTACTGCATCCTAAGTGGGTGCAAAGCTCAGAGTTTGTCATGTGCAGATGTACACTTAGTAGTTTGGAGGGTTTTTTTATAAGTCTGTCATGTCAGGGCTATTGCCGTATGGTTGAAGCATACCAAACATGATACTCTCATTTATGGTAGCATGGAAAACTGGTACCTGCAGACTTTGTTCTCACCCCAGTGGTAGGGAAAGATTGAAAACAAGCTGTCCTGGTTTTGGCTGGCATAGAGTTAATTTTCTTTCTAGTAGCTGGTATAGTGTTATGTCTTGGATTCAGTATGAGAAGAATGTGGATAACACACCGATGTTTTCAGTTGTTGCTGAGTAGTGTTTGTACTAAATCAAGGATTTTTCAGCTTCTCATGCCCAGCCAGCAAGAAGGCTGGAGGGGCACAAGAAGTTGGGAGGGAACACAGCCAGGCCAGCTGACCCAAACTGGCCAAAGGGGTATTCCATACCATGTGATGTCATGCCCAGTATATAAACTGGGGGGAGTTGGCCTGGGGCGGGGGCAGATCGCCACTTGGGAACTAACTGGGTATTGGTCAGCGAGTGGTGAGCAATTGCATTGTGCATCACTTGTTTTGTATATTCCAATCCTTTTATTATTATTGCCGTTTTATTATTGTTATTATTATCATTATTAGTGTTCTTTCTTTCTGTCCTATTAAACTGTTCTTATCTCAAGCCACGAGTTTTACCTTATTCCTTGTGATTCTCTCCCCCATCCCACTGGGTGTGGGGGGAGTGAGTGAGCGGCTGTGTGGTGCTTAGTTGCTGGCTGGGGTTAAACCGTGACACAAGCTTTGAAGGAAGGATAACATTTTCAAAAGAAACAGATAATGCAAAATGTTTGGGTGTTTTAGGGAAATACCCCTGCTAGATGAACAATTCAGGAGTTGATGGAAACCCCTATGAAAAGCTATTAGACCAGACTAACACTATTACAATTAATTTTGAGATGTGTAGGCAAGTGAGAAGAAGAGGTGGAAATGAGCTGTGCTAGAAATTGCTGACCCTTCACTCTGCTGGTGAAATTACTTACAGATAGGTCTCACTTCATCTCCAGTAAAAATACTAGTGGCCTTATTCTAGGCATGAGGAGAAGAGCTCTAATGGAATTAGTTGGCAACACAGAGATGAGATGCATTATTAATGTAGAGTAGAATTGGAATATCGCAGCAGATTGGACTAAGAAATATATGCAGCCTGTAGTAGTAGAGTACAAGATACTGCATTTAAGGAATGAAACCTCAGAATTTTTTGCTCCATGGTGTCAGGGCTTATAGGAGCCCCATGAAAACAAGGAAGAGAAGGATCTGTGTAACTAAATCATGAGAATAATAGGCTGGAAAGCAACAACAACAAAAACCCAGATCCTAGGGTGTATTTTAGGCATGTTATTTTCAGTAGTTTTATGGAAGTGTTTTATCATTTAACTAGGTGTTTATCTCAAATGTTTGAATTCTGGTCATCTAGAGTCAGGATGTTTATTTGGATTATAGAAGGTATAGAGAAGTACTTAAATTATTGGGAGAATTGGAAAACCTGATATGCAGGAAGGAACTAGAACAGTTTGGCTTAGTATAAATAGAAGAATGCTGAAAGGTGCATCAGATTTTTGCTCAAGTACAGTCTATGGAGGCAGGTAGGTAACGGGATGGGAGAAGAGGTGCTGACAACACAAACAAGAGGAAGTGGTTATAAAATGTTTCAGTTATTGAGGCTGGAAGTTTGAAGAAAGTTTCCAGTTATTGAAATCAGTAAAGTTCAGTAGGGTCTTACCAGCAAAAATGATAGTGGCAAAAGTTAGTTATATGATTGTCTCATTGAGAAATTTACTAATGTGGTAATTGTTAGCAGTTGCTATGATCATGAAGGCCAATTTCAGTGCTGTGTTGCTGCCTGCACCTAAAGGATGAAGACTAGAGAGATAAGATTTTTGGTTTAAACTGATCCAGAAGTGTGCAGCTTTTGAAAATAGCAGTTTTGTGCTCTCCCTTGCCCTGTCCCTTGTGCTTGCAGTAGTGTTTTTGACTACAGCATTCCTTGAATCAGACAAGGATTAACCTTCTGCCAGATCCCTTAGGAAAAACTTAAGCTGCAAGAGTTCCCTCACCTGGTTTGTCACGTGGTCTCAGGGTCCTGGTGCTGTCGTCACAGGGGGTGGGATGGGAGCTCCCATTAATCTTTTTAAATGGATCACATTCCTTGGCATCAGTAAAAAGTTTTATTTGTGTAGAAGGTGGAAACAAGTAAAGATTCCTCTTGCTCTGGAATTGCCTGCATCTTTCAAACTGTGTATTGAATCCCTTGGTGTCTTTCATTCAGTAACCAACCTAGCAGCTTGAGAGGGTGGGTGAAATATGAGTTGCAAGAGAACATTTTTCTTCCAAAGCTTGGTGTCTCGTAGTTTCTACATCTCTCTGGTGGGCTGGGTGGCATACTTATTTCTTTTACAGTAGCACTGGAGAGCTGTCATCCTCAGAATCTATACATCTCTTATTTCTTAGGTGTGAAAAAAGCTGAGCCTCAGCTGAATGCAGCCGTAGTGTGACTTCTTGATGCAGAATTAACGCTTGGGGTTTTTTGGTTTGGTTTTTTTTGTCTTGCAGGAAGCTGTGGCAGGAGCTGCGGTTCTTGGCACGTTGGCAACCCCTGGGTTGGTATCTCCAGCGCTGACTCTGGCCCAGCCGTTAGGGGCGTTGCCACAGGCTGTAATGGCAGCACAAGCACCAGGAGTCATTACAGGTATGTTTACTCTTCATTTTGTCACTTGTGTACCTGTTACAAAGCATGGTTACCTATAGCTGGGGTCACAACTAAGGAGAATTTGAAGCTGAAATCTTCTTCCCTACCCTGCTTTGTCAAGAATTTATTTTTTTTTTCATTTGTGCAGCATAGCAGGAATTTATTTTGGTATATAATAGATACGACAGGGACATGAACTTCACAGCAGGAGTGCATGGCACTCTTGAGTGAAAATCTGGATAATTGTTACTTCATGCAAAATCCTGCACTCTCTCTCTTCTGGGCAAGTATATGATGCATGTATTGAGTGCTTATGTCCTGTATGCTGACTAAGCTGCTGCTTATGTCTCCCTGGTCGTTGCTGGTGCAGAGCAAATAAAACCATCTAGATTCTGTGGTCCTCTTTATCACTGGCTGGTGTGTGCCCAAATGTTGCAGAATGTCGGTTCTTTTCTTTATGCTACAGAGTTTGTACTCTTACAGGTGTAACCCCTGCCCGACCTCCCATTCCTGTCACTATTCCGCAAGTGGGAGTTGTGAATCCTATCCTGGCTAGTCCCCCAGCATTGGGCCTGATGGAGGTGAAAAAGGAGAAGGAAGAAGAGGAGGTATTCCAGGAGTCAGAGAGGCCAGAGATGCTGAGTGAACAGGAACACATGAGCATATCTGGCAGCAGCGCCCGTCATATGGTGATGCAGAAATTGCTTCGTAAACAGGAGGTGAGTGCAGTGTGACTGCCCTGAGCTGGTTCCAGTTGTCAGCAAATGAGACTACTATGTGTAGATCTGTCTTAATGTGGTATTGCTATGCAGTTTTGTATGTGGTACAGGCTTCCTGCAGCATGCATTGTAGGTACCCCACAGAGCTCGTGGGGGACTACAAAGTCTACCTGCTTGTGTGCTGCTTGTGATGGTTCTTATTCTGCCTTTAGGATCTTCTCAGAGTTTCTCTGAGGGTTCAGACCCATCACTAGGCCAGAAGAGGCTCGGCTAGGAGGTGTCTTTGATTAAACTGTGTGTTTACTTAGCATCATTAAAGCAAACTATGATGGCCTTTTGGCTTATAATTAAAGAAGTGAGGCTGGCACATAGTCAGGGGCAATCTGTTCCAAACTATTGAGTCCACCTTTTCCCCACAACCTTTTACCATAGGATGAAACTCAGGTGTTTATAAAACAAAATTTCACGAAAGTTACAGTGAGAAGAAGGACAAGAATGAATGATAGAAAAAGTCAGAACATTAAACAGAACAATAGATAGATAGTTTTGGTGGTTTTTTTTTTTGGAGGGGGTCTTGGAAGGGGCTGTATTGATAATTTCATCAGGCTTCTTGTTTGGGCATGACCAGAGCTTTGATTGAGTTTCCTATCTGACACGCAGATTTCCTAAGCTTTGACACTGAATTGACAATTTGTTTGCTAAATAGGGATGATAGTGATGTGCATTTCATAAGGGAGGACACAAATGAGTTAGCTAGTGAGTGTTCTCCTTTACTTTCAAAGGGTATGTAATTTTAAGTACATCTTTGAGCTTCTGACTTAGCAGCCAATTTTCCTCTATCACGAGTACCTTTCCCAAAGAATCCAATTCATTTGGTATGCCTGCTTGAAAAAAGTTTAGCAGTGTTGAAAAAGTCTTAAACTACACCATTCGCAAAGCTGCTTACCATTCTCAACCTGTAAGTACCCTTCTATTTTTGCTGCTCTTTTAATAGGCTCTTAAAGGCAGTTATACAAATGTGAATAAGAACTGGAACAAGTATTTTAAAATTATCCTGAGCCTGAAATGCCAAGTCTGCTACCCTATGATGTTGGGCGGGCCAGAGCTGGGACGAAGGGATGTGGTAGAGCTGGGTGTAATGCACAAAACCAGAGGCTGCCCGGAGAGGTTCTGGAGTGTCTATCCTTGGAGATACTCAGAAGTCATCTGGACATGGTCCTGGGCAACTCTAGGTGGCCCTGCTTGAGCAGGGGAACTTGGACCAGGTGACCTCCAGAGGTCCCTTCCAACCTCAACCATTCTGTGATACAGAGAGGTGCTCAGTCATGAAAGGGCTTGATGGGGGGATACATAGGAGAGGTATGTTGCAGGTGCTCTGACTGGCTCATGTGTCATTATCCCCTGTAATGAAAGTAACTGGTCAACCATCCATTGTCAGAGGTATGAAAGACTTAGTTAATCCTTCTACTTTATTTAGAGATGAGGAAAAATTAAAAAAAAAAAAAAAAAAAACCACAACAGTGGTGTTGAAGATAACAAAGCAAAAAATAACTGGATGGCAACAGCACAAGAAAAATTATAGATGTCTCCAGGTGAATTGTGCTTCAAAGATGTGTCTAAGAAAAGCCCAAGAGGTGGCACAGAGCTTTCCTGACTGAGGCCAGCCACAACATAGCTGGCAGTGAATGAGATTTGTTCATGCTTTGGATGCCTGGGAAGAAAATTTACTTATTTATCCCTGAGAACCTGGGACTTTATTGGTTTCATGGAATATGCTTGTAATGGCATAGCACTAGAATATTTGGTTGTGCTCAGGCATGCTGTGTAGTCTGATGTGGCTTTGCAGATTTAATCTCAATGTCTCTTAGGTGTATTAATTCACTTGTCCCTTCTCTCTGCAGTCTACTGTGATGGTGCTTCGCAACATGGTGGATCCAAAGGACATTGATGACGACCTAGAGGGAGAAGTGACAGAAGAATGTGGCAAATTTGGGGCTGTAAACAGGGTCATCATCTACCAGGAGAAGCAAGGAGAAGAGGAGGATGCTGAGATCATTGTCAAGATCTTTGTGGAGTTCTCCATGGCCTCAGAGACTCACAAAGCCATTCAGGCTCTGAATGGGCGCTGGTTTGCAGGAAGAAAGGTGGTAGCAGAGGTGTATGACCAGGAGAGATTTGATAACAGTGACCTGTCAGCATGAACTCTACTTGAAAGACTTCGCCCCTGCCCCCTCTGCCTGTCTGGGTTTTTTTAGCCATGTGTAAAGAACGCTCCAGGGTGGGCACAGATCTCTGTGATGTACTTGTAGTTTGGATAAAAGCGCAAAGAAAGCTAGTGTGCATCTGTGTGTGTGTTAAAGGGGCTGACATCTCGTCAGCTGAGTCTGACATGGGTCTGGCCTCATCCGCCTAGAAGAGTGGGGCCAGAGCCTGAAGAAGGGTTGCTGCTTGTGCTCCTGCCTTACACTGTGGTCACTTCAGGAACACTCAGGTCAAGATCCCACTGCACCTTTAGGGGCTGGAATAGCAGTTTTCTTCAGAGATGGGCCATAAATGGTTGGAATGGAGGAGGGAGTCTCTTCATAAGGTATTTCAGCAGCACCCTTGAGTGCTCCTGTATTAATAAGGAGGATAGCTTGGGTGGTGCTGGGAGGGAGCCTTCCTACTGAGGATCTGCATGTTGAGCTTGGACTCAGGAGCCCAGATGTGAGTCAGAGCCCAGAATTGAACCACCTCGGCCTTTTTAGAGTGTTCACATCGTGTTTGTCCTGATACCGTAGTTTGGACCTCACAATTTTATTGATGGGTCAGAGTTACCCTTACTGATCCTTCCTTAATGTGCCAAAATATGAATAGCAAGTCAGGCTGCAGGCATCACAGCTGGGTTGAGAGTGCGAGTAGTGTTGATCTGTAGGACCTAAAGTGCATTTATGAAATAAACATCTAGCCCTTGTACTGTGGACGGTGATACAGAAACATGCCTTTGCCTGAAAGGAAAGTTTGGGGGGTTTTTTGTTGAGGACTCAAAGCTTTAGTAATATTTACAAAGCTTAAATGCATTTATTTTAGTAATCTTTCTGTCTAGCTAATGAGTAGGAACAGAATTAGCTCATGTTGATTATTTTAAATATTTTAAGTATGTGAGGGGCTACTGTATTGCTTGTTATGCATAACTGGTACACAGCACAGATCTGAAGAAAATAATCATTTTAGTTTAGAAATTCAAATAAAGGAAGAAAGCTCTTAAAGGAACTTCAGTAGGGAATTCTGAGTTAAGCCTGCAGCTGTGAGTTGCTTCTAAGCTTGGAGATGTTCTTAAAATTAAATTTTCGTATTTTTTTCAAACACTCAACCCTTCTATTGTAGCTTAGAAATTTGTATTTACAGTTTAACTTTATTTATGATTAATCTATGTTTCCTTCTTTTTGTACTAATATTGACTGTTAGCTTAAATAACCTTTCTTCTTCCCTGTTTTTACACCCATTCCAAGTTAATAGAAAAGCCTATTGTTTTCAACTTGTGTTTTGATAGCTGAAGTCTTCTGGGATCAGCTTGCTCTTTCCCTGGTCATCTGCCCTAGCAGGGCTTCTTTGCATTTGTTAACTTGAATTTCCTTTTCTTCAAAGTAGTTGATTAGACCTGCTGAATATATTGTATAAGTGGCACTCAGCCTTTCTTATCTGTGCTGGAAATGCATCATCCCATGCCACCTGTGATCCCACTGACCTCTCTCGCAGCCACAGCATACTGGTAGCTCACAGTGGCCCTGGTTTCACAGTGCAGGACAGCGTCTTTGCTGCTTTTGTTTGTGATGCAGGAGAAAATTCACTGTTTTTAATTGTTCCAGGGTTTTATTATTCCTCCTGAAGAAAACCAAAGTACCTCTTCCATGACTTAGTTGGTCTGTCTAGCTTTCATTTTCTGCTATTTGCTCCTGTTCTGTTTGCTGGATTTAGGAGTATGAAGACTGCACTGTAAGTTTCCTTGTGGTGTTGATGGTTTAGAAAACCAAAGTGGATAAAATTGATGCAAGGGGAGAGCATAGATTAAAGAATGACAGCCTAAGTGTTACTCAACAAGTTTTTTGCAGTCAGTCTTGGCTGACAAGATGGTATGTTAAAAAAATGACGTCATAAATGTCTTGACAAGTCAAATGTCTGACAAAATATCACCTATCTTGACTTCTGTGTGGCTTTTGACACAGTCCTCCACGACATCCTTGTAACTAAATTGGAGAGATATGGGTTTGATGGATGAACTATTAGATTGCTAAGGAATTGGCTGGATGGCCACATCCAAAGAGTTGCAGTCAACAGCTCCATGTCAAAATGGAGATCAGTAATGAGTGGTATCCCTCAGGGGTCCATACTGGGACTGATACTGTACAAATATTTTTATTAATGACATAGTGGGATTGAGTGCCCCCTCAGCAAGTTTGCGGATCGCACCAAGCTGAGTGGTGCAGCTGATACACTAGAGGGAAGGGATGCCATCCAGAAGGACCTTGATGGGCTTGAAGAGTGGGCCCATGTGAACCTCATGAAGTTCAACAAGGCCAAGTGCAAGGTCCTGCACATGGGTTGGGGCAATCCCTACTATCAGCACAGGCTGTGGGACGAATGGATTGAGAGCAGCCCTGCAGAGAAGGACTTGGTACCAGTGGATGAAAAGCTGGACATGAGCCGGCAATGGGCACTCACAGCCCAGAAAGCCAACGGGATGCTGGGCCACATCAGAAGCAGTGTGGCCAGCAGGTCGAGGGAGGGGATTCTGCCCCTCAGCTCCTCTCTGGTGAGACCCCCCTGGAGCACTGTGTCCAGCTCTGGGGTCCCCAGCAGAAGACAGACACGGACCTGTTGGAGCGGGTCCAGAGGAGGGACACAGAAATGGTCCGAGGGCTGGAACACCTCTGCTGTGAGGAAAGGCTGAGAGAGTTGGGGTTGTTCAGCCTGAAGAAGAGCAGGCTGCGGGGAGACCTTATTGTGGCCTTTCTATACTTAATAGGGGGCTTATAAGAAAGATGGGGACAGACTTTTACCAAGGCCTGTAGTGACAGAACAAGGGGCAATAGTTTTAAACTGAAGGAGGGTGGGTTTAGATTGGACATAAGGAAGAAATTTTTATGATGAAGGTGGTGATACGCACAACCAGGTTGCCCAGAGATGTTGTGGATGCCCCATCCCTGGAAAGTACTCAAGGCCAGGTTGGATGGGGCTTTGAGCAACCTGGCCTAGTGGAAGGTTGGGGGGGAACTAGACGATCTTTCAGGTCCGTTCCAACCCAAACCGTTCTGTGAATCTAAGATCAGGTGTTGTACAACATTGTAATGAAAATGCTATAGCGTGAGCTAAACACAAATTGATTAGGAATAGCGGACAAACTATAATCCTAAATAGAAAAGAAAAAAAAAAACCTGAATGAGGAAGGGCTTTTTTCCCTAGGTTCACAGAATCATAGAATAGTTTGGGTTGGAAGGGACCTTTAAAGGTCATCTAGTCCAACCCCCAAATATTTAAGTAGATCTTAATAGAAAACTGATTTAGGCCAAATGTGCATGTATCTAATGATTGAGGATTTTGAAGCAGGTATAGAAATAAGCATTTAACAGGCTAGCATGGCAGATCAGTAGCATGTTAGGCTTGGCATAAGTGGATATAGTCTGCTTTGTTTTGTGTTTAAAATGGTTTATTCAGCAGTGGGGGATTCTGACTTGGAAAGCTGTAACTCAGAAGAGGATGAGAAGGTTATGGGGATAATCAGTGGGTGTGCTACATGGTGTTGGATGTTGTGGTGTTCTTCTCTTGGGGCAAGTTCGGGGAGCGGGGGGGAATGACACGCATTCACCATCCCTATAGTTAGCCTTCTAGGTGACTGTACAAGCCTGAAGCTATCGGTGACAGGATGACACGTGTGACCAGAGGAGCACAAAGTTGCACCGTGACAGCCTCCCTTTGGAGAAACCGGCAGACTGTTGGTCCCTGAGAACACTGGTTGTGTTGGACCCTTCCCTGAATTTATTGGCGGCCTCTCACTATCCCCTCCCTGTTCCCTCTTACATGATGTCTGCAATCACCAACTTCCATTTAATCATGTATTCTGATTTTCAAATTTCGTGTCATGCTTTCTCAGCAAACTGGAAAAAGTTGTAGATGTCTTCAGGTGCAGCAGGTTCCACCTTCAGGATCTGGTAGGAGTACAGATAAAAGAATGGGTACCTCTGCATTAGCCTGTTAGGCTTCAATCTTTCTTGATATTCTTCCTCTTAAATGGTTGCAGTCTGAACAGTTTTCTGACAAGGTAACAAGGTGTCCAAGTTACTTCACCCTCAGACTTTTCCTATTGGCAGAATACACCATGCTGCAGAGTAACAGTTTTCAGCTAGTTTTATCTGCATAGGGCTTTCTCTATTGATCCTCAGACAGCATCAGTCTTCAGAGTGAATTATTTGAAAAATATGGGCAATTCAGAGTGGGCTTTTTGCAGAAGCAACCTCAACATCTGGAAACCTGGTATAGTGGAAGGTGTCCCTGCCAATGCAGAGGGGTTGGAACTAGATGATCTTTAAGGTCCCTTCCAATCCAACCCATTCTATGATTTTCTGAAACCTTGCCACATAACTCCCCACCAGTGGACTTTCCTAGATTGGCAACCCTAAGTTAGGACAGAGAATTGTGCTGATCTCATTAAGATTCTGGCACAGGTCTGCAGTAATTGCCTGAAAAACTCAAGGAAGTCTAAACCTGTCCGAATTTGTCTTCCTGTAGTTCCTCGAGTCTGTATGTTAAGCTGATAATGATAATCATACTGGTAGCTGTTAGTGTGTCACAGAAGTCCTTATACATCTTGAAGCAGAGTGTGTGTAACTTACCTAGTACCAGAACTGATTGAACAGAAACAGAACTGAGCAGCTGGGATGCCTTGTTGCCTTATTTATGGCAGCAAGCTGTTTGGGTGCAGCTGCACAAACTATGGAATAGCTCTGGTGGCAACTGTTTGAGGAGGGTCTAGGTTTTAATGAAAACATCCCAGAAATGTTTGGGGTAAGGATGAAACCTTTTTGCCTGAGTGCTGGAGCTTATGGACTGGGCCTGATAGTAAAAGGTTCAACTTTTCTAATCCCTAAAGGAAACAGCATTGGTGGAAAGTAGAGGCCAACAGGCTGCTCCAGATGGGCCTTCACGTCTTGATTCTGCATCAGTAGGTTCCTTATCGGCAGAGGGATCAGAAACTTTAGCTCTCATAAGACTGTGGGCCTGCACTGTTCTAAAGAGGATACAGCTTAAGTGGAGGTGAGAAAAATACAGCACCACAGAAGCCTGGTAGCAGCTGTG